CTCCCTCCCTCTCCTTTTTTCTCTTCTTTCCTCTCTCTCTCCCCCCCTCTCCTCTGCTCTCCTCTTTTCTCTTCTCTCCTCTGTTTCTCTCTCTCTCCACTCTCTCCTCTTTTCTCTTTTCTTCTTCTTCTTCTCTCTTTCTCTCTCTCTCTCTCTCTCTCTCTCTCTCTCTCTCTCTCTCTCTCTCTCTCTCCCTCTCCCCCCTCCTCTACTATTTTTGGAGAAACTAAACTTGCAATCATATCAGTGTAGAAATACTTAGTGAGGAAACTCCCTCTACCAATGTACATAGGCACCTATTTTAAACTCGGTCTTATGAGAATTGCCTGGGGCACTAAGGGTTTCCATGACTTGTTCAGGGTCACACAGCCAGCAGGTGTCAGGGGCAGGATTGAACTCAGATCTTTCTAACTCTGTGGCTAAAGACACGGCTGCCACTCTAGAGTCTACTGTGCCAAGCTGCCTCTCCTATCATTTTTTTTTGCCATGGAAATCGCACTTAATGCCTTCTGACTTTCATAAAGATGTCCAAGACCAAAGCACTTAGACCCTCTATTTTCCTCAGATCACCAAGGGAAACAGTGGGCCCAGTCAGAAGTATTGAGGCTATCAAGCTGGACTTTGCCCTAGATCCTTGGAACATCCTTGTTTGGTTGGGCATCGTCACCTGGAACATACTGGACAGATCTTCTAGCTGGCCAAGTCCTTAACGATCCCACTCATCTGTTTTCCCTTTGCTAACTTTTAAACCTCTATAGTCTGTACCACCACTTATTGCTTATTGCCAAGCTCCTATACTTTCTGTTGACAGGTGCCAAAACTCTGACCCACACATTCATCACTTGGAGGGCAATTATTGCAACGCATCTTACCATATGCCAATTTTCTCGTTTATTTTCATCACCTTTAGGGTGCTCCGAAAAACAGGACAGAGACAGTGACATTACATTTCTCCAGAAATGTGTGAAATCATATCCATTGAAACCCCAGAACAATGAAATGTACTTTAGCTGCCAACATGGTAGTAGATTCATCCAGGACCATATTAAAGGTTTTAAGGGTGTATGTGTGTTTCAATTGAGAGGAACTTCCACCTAATCTATGGCTAAGGTCCTTGGGAAAACTTAAGTCTTGGGGAAATTCCCTCAACACTAAAGGTTAGGAGCTGATAAAATCCAATCAAGTACGGCAAGTGAGAATGGAAAAATTTAGAAAATGAGGGTTTGTCCTGGCCTTTAGTGGACTAGCTGCAACTTGAATCTAGATGATGCCACATTCAGTTTCGGCTCTGAAGCTGGGTGCCAAAGCGTTGGTTCACAAATCTCTTTCCCACCACTGCGATGACAATCTAATTTATTTATACCTAGAAGACTATTGCACGTGGGTCCTCTTTGAAAATTAATGCTTTCACCTTTATCTATTTTGGAGAGGCAGCCAGTGTGGTGGAAAGAGCACTAGATTTGGCAGGAGAGACCTGGACTCAGTGAACCTTACTAGCTTTGGGATCTCGGGCAAGACATTTTCACCCTCTCGGTCATAATTTCATCTGTACAATGGAGTTCAATGATCCATCAATAAGCATTTCTTAAGAGCCGATGTGTCAGGTACTGGGGGTTAATATTTACGGCCCCTGAAAGTATCACAGGGTTGTCAGGAGGAGTGAGCACTGTAAGTCTTAAAGTGATACATAAATGTGAGTTATTCTCTTCCACGTCCTTAGTTTGAAATCAGAAGACCAGGACCAAGGACATGACCCAGTCAGTGTTCTCTCCCAATTTTGTTTTTCTTTAATGTGTGTGACAACAAGACCCTCTCTTCTCCTTGGGTTTGGAATTCCCTGCCCCATCATTTCCATGAGGATTTTTCCATTCCTCTCGTCATTTTTAGAAAATAGTTTATTCGGTTTGCCTGTCTGTGGTTTTGCATATTTGCCCTAGTTTGCTTTTCTATCTCCCCTACATGAGGAAAGAAGTCTGCATTCGTTCAACTTTTCTTTCCTTGACTTTATTCTTTCATGATGGGGGTGGGGGGGCCGGAATCTAAACTGACCTTGAAAATTCTGTTCAGGCACTGTCTGCGGTGCCCACCCCTATCTTCTAATTCTGCACGTTTGCACAAAATGTTCCCCCTACTCAGAATGTTCTCTCTCCTGACCTTGATCTCTTTAAACCCTTAGCTCCCCTTAAGACTCAGCTAAAAATGTCACCTCTTACAAGAGGCCTTTCCTGATTCCCCCAGGTGTCAGTCACACACACACCCCCTCTCAACAGACACCTTCCAAATTACTTTGTAGACTCATCCAATTTATGTAGCTGCCTATGTGTGGGTTCCCCCCCGCCCCATAATCTCCTTGAGGAGGAAAATGTTTTTCTTTTCATCTCCAGAGCCCAACACAGTGTTCGTCACCTGTAATAAGTACTTGAAACATGCTTGTGGAATTGAATAAAAAATAATCAAGGATAGAAATGGGGTATTTTCTGAGTGGAGCCACGGAAAGACAAAAATCGAGCTTTTTATAAAAGCTCTTTTTATTTTTAAAGCAGCATTAGCAATTACAGTGCTAATATTTGCGATACAGTGAGTCTGTTGATTTTTCGTGGATGAGATAACTTTGCTAAATTATTATCCACAAACTCCCCCTTTAAAAAAATCTCAATATATAACAGGACAGTGACAGAGGAAATACTCTTGATAGATTTCGTCTTCCTTGTTTATTTTTGTTTGTTTGTTTGTTTGTTTTGTTTTGTTTTTTGACTGGCAGGACACAATCCCAAATACAAAGGGGGCAGTCTATAAATGTCATCAGAGTGCAGTAATACTTATGTATGCCAATGGGATTTTCGAAAGTCCTTTCACCTAAGGTTAATATTTAGCTTTTCTCAAAACAGACAAGCATCAAATGCTCAGTTCTTAAAGTTACCCTGCACTCATTCCACGGAGGTGCCTGCCTGCCTGCCGCTTTTGCAATACTCAGCTGCCCTTTGCATTCAAGGGAAGCTGGGAATAAAATAACTTCGAAAAAGAACTCAGTAAATGTACTTGGTGGGGTGCAGTAAGAGCTCGGGGCTTATTGCAAGGGAAAGATGGTTCTTCCAAAATAACACTAATATTAGATAAAGCATTTACTAAGTGCTCACTGTATGCCAGGCGCTGTGCTAATTATATTATATTACTATATTAATATTAATAAAGGTCAGGCATGGGGGGGGGGGATGATCCACAAAGGTGAAAACCTCAAACTTTACCCGAATCAGTTTTGGGAGAAATAAATGATTCTGCCAAAATCAAAATTACTAATGAGGAAAGATCAGGCATTTGGGGGGGTGGGATATACACAAGGTGAAAACCTCCGACCTCTTACAGCAGTGGAGGGGGACAAGGGCAGATAACCTCTGCCCCCTCCAGCAGCTATGAGCTTTCTCCCTGAAAAAAAAAAACCAAAAAACGTGCAACAAACTCAAACCAAAAAGAAGCAACTCTTTAAAAAGTGAGAAACTTTCTGAACTGCGTTTGCATTGGGTAAACCTGAACACTTACGTTGATTTGACAGAATCTCTTCGTTTGGGAGAAGTGTTTCCTTCTAAAGTGGATTTCTGAGCCCCGTGCCCACCCCACCCCATATGTCTGAGTGAGTGAGTGAGTGAGTGAGTGAGTGAGTGTGTGTGTGTGTGTGTGTGTGTGTG